CAAGCTCTCAAAATTCTCATCCAAAAGGCAGGATTTTCTGGAATGGTAGGCGGGCAGACAATGGATGTAATGCATACTGGCAAAGCCATTAGCAAAGAAGAACTCATAATAATGCATCGCAAAAAAACAGGTGCTTTAATCGAGGCTTCAGTTCAATTAGGGCTACTGTGCGCTACTGATATCGCAGATGATGCAATTTTTGCCATAACTAACTTTGCCGCAAAAATTGGCCTCGCTTTTCAAGTCACAGATGATCTCCTTGATTATCAAGCAAATAGCGACATTTTAGGCAAAACAGCAGGCAAAGATGCCATCCAACAAAAAGCTACTTTCGTCAACCTCCTGGGTGTTGATCAAACCAAAATCTATGTCAAAGAACTTATGACACAGGCAATTGACCTGCTGAAACCCTTCTTACCTAAAAGCCAATATTTAATCGATCTTGCCCATTTTGTGTTACAACGCAATTATTAGTATCCAAGTGCTGCTCCATCAGGATTTCTGGTATCAGAAGCTCCCTGCAGTTCATAGTGATCATGATCCACTTTAATCGTTTGCACACGACCCATATTTGGTTTTTCAACTACTTTATAGTCATCTATTGTTATCTCTTAAATTTAGCACAGTTTATGATTATGACATGAATAAAACACGTTTCCAAATACTCAGTCTTGTACTTTCATGCGATAATCAGTCATATTAATCCCATTATCAAGGTGTCATTTATGAATACCCCTGCTAATTTTGAAGAGGCAATGAAGCGTTTAGAAGAAATTACTGAAGCAATGCAGCAGAGCAATGTCAGTTTAGAACAAGCGCTTAAATATTATGAAGAAGGAATCACTCTCATGTCCTTTTGCCAGAAAAAATTAGTTCAGGTTCAACAAAAAATTAAGATATTAAATGATAAGAGTGCACAACTGGAGGACTTTACATTTGATGAGCCTTGATTTTTCCTTATGGGTCACACAGCAAAAAGAAACATTAGAAACATTTCTTGAGCAACATTTACCTAAAGATTCTCCAAAACAATTAGCTTTAGCAATGCGTTATGCTGTGTTAAATCATGGCAAGCGAATACGCCCTCTATTGGTCAGTGCTGCTGCAAAACTTGGCAATGCTGACTCTCTAGCAAAAAAACAACGCATGGCAGCGGTAGAATTACTACATAGTTATTCCCTAATCCATGATGATTTACCGATAATGGATGACGATAATTGGCGTCATGGTAAAGCTTCTTGCCACATTGTATATGGGGAAGCAGTCGCTTTACTGGCAGGGGACGCACTACAAGCTCTTGCTTTTGAAATATTGTGTCACCCGAATCAATTATCGGCTGAAAATAATATGCAAGCTCTCAAAATTCTCATCCAAAAGGCAGGATTTTCTGGAATGGTAGGCGGGCAGACAATGGATGTAATGCATACTGGCAAAGCCATTAGCAAAGAAGAACTCATAATAATGCATCGCAAAAAAA